ATGAAAAGATGTAATGATTATTATTGTAACTTCTTAAAAATAATGGTTTATTGGGAATCAAGATGAGGGAATAAAGGTATATTTTAATCATTGAGGTATCACACTCAAAGCAGTAAAAGGGGGGAAACCTGTAGTTTTTTTTCTTTAGTGTTAAAATTTATATTAATCTAAAATTTATAAAAAGAATGTGTAATGGAAAGGGAATATGACAGACTAAAGAACCAACTAAATTAATCAGTTAGTATAGACTATTAAAAGCAAGAAGAGACATTGGTAACCTTTTTTAAATTATCATTATTATTATTAGGCAAATGCATATTGTTTATCTTTATTTTTAAAATAAATATTAAAGGATTATATTTGAAATAATTGAAATGAAACAAAAAGATGTTTTGATTGAGATTAATCAAAGAGGCTAGAATTAATGTGTTTGTTTCTCTCCTTACTGAAAATTTGGAATGGAAAAGGTAATAATAGAATTAAGTATGCATATATGAATGTGTAATTGCTGTCATATTTGTATGTAAAGGTGATGACCCGGAAATATGTTGTCCACTAAAAAGAGATTTTTGTTTTTAATGTGAAAAACTGAATAAAATTTGTTTAAAAAAAATATCTGAAAGCATGTATCAAGGTGAAGTTAAACAAGGAAAACATTTTTAAGGCACAGAATAAAAATCAGGAAGATATTTGGAAATGTTAGGGATTTAACAGTTAATTGACTCTCTTTTTAAAAAATCTTTGCTGAAAATATACACCTTTTCAAAAGCTGCATTGACATGTCCTGATACTTTGATATTTATCATTCTGAAGAGCTAATTTTCATTGGAACCTATTGTTGTCTTATTTATCTATTTATTTATCTATGTAGATAAATACCAGTGCTGGTATATGATATATAATCTAGACCTTGAAATAATAGAGATATTTATAAAGGTATTTTAGAAAGTGGGGTGGGGGAATCCAAAACAAGGACCCAACAAAGTAACTGTACACAGCTTTGTGGGGGAGTTCATTTTAAATTTCTACTGTTGCACCTGGAAAATATCAAAGTATGTTTTCCTGGTAAAATGTCATAGCAACAGCAACTATTCTATTTTCTTGCCTATTGAGTACGTAAATGGTAGAGCAATAGGTCTGTCACTAACATTTGAGAAGTTCCTATTCATCAGGATCTATTATTAATATTCAAATTGTGTTTCACAACATTGAAGACTCCAAAGCCTGGCATACCATACAACGTTAGTATTTAGAAGTGCCCAAATTATGTTTGATATTCTATTCCTGCATAATAAACCTATAGATCACAGACACTGTATGTGGCCTTGAACACATAAGAGTGACTGATGATATTACAAATGTAATGCACAAAATAAATCATTCATATGTTATAATTTCATATTATAAATTCATGCATACCTGGAAAGAATGAACTCATAGTTACAACTCAAAGTGAACATGATGAGAAAGATACATGTATTTTGAGTATGTGTTCAGGAGTCTCCATTTTCCCCATTGGGTCAAATGCAGGCTGCTTCCCAACCCTTTTCCATTGTATGTCTCTGTTTTTCTTATTAAATGGCAAAAACCTATTTAGGTACATGTTTATTTTGCCCTACAGGAACAGGCAGTTTTCAGGGCCAGGGGAGAATATTAGCTGGAAAAATGACGGGGAAAAGTGTAAAAACTTACAACTTGAACTAACTCTGTTTACGGAACTGTTTGAAAATCTCAAAAAGAATTCATATAGGAAATAGGAGAGACTGGTCATCCACCAAGTGTGTTTGGGATCCCAGATAGGCAGAGTGAGAACAAATTAAGAAATAACTAGAATCAGCAAAGAAATTTAACAACTATAAAAAGGATTTATTATCCTGAAAATACTGTAGGAAGAGAAAAGAACACTGCCAGCGGTGCAGTCAACATAGCAACAGATTAATGGATAGCAGCACTTACTATTACAAGGAAAATCTAACCTACTCTTATTTAGGCTCAGATTTACTTCACTGAGGAGAGGACCTGCATTCTACTGGGCAATTACAAAAAGCAGCTTGGAGGAACAGGATTCTAGCTTCATAGAAATGAAGTCAGGGATATTTACTATCCTTGAATACTTCATTTCTCCATGGCAATCTAGAACTGTACTAAAGGAGCTTGCTCCTGACTGCTATCCATGGTCTCTGAGAAATCCTGGACAAAGATTTAAATACCAGATGACAGATCTATAGAAACATTGTCCCATTTTCAGAACAGGAAAAAAAAAGAGCCAAGAAACTATGGACCACACATGATACTTTTAAAATCATTGGCTTCATTCTCAGACTGTCAGAAACATTTTCATGGTGCCCTTCAACCGTCATCGTCAATGGGAAAATGAAGTTTCAGAATGACTGCATAGTTCTAGACAAGCAATATACCTTGATTTCAAGATCACGTCTGCCAGCTACCTCAGTAATCTAGGTTATAAACCATCTGATTTAGGAGACTTGAAGTCATTCAAAGCAGCTAGGGCTCTGTTACCAAATCCTTTCCTACAGTATATCTGACATAAAATGATTTCATCTTGTAGAGTGGAATGGAGGAATACTGAGAAAGTGAGGTGTAATTATGAATGAAAGGCCTAAAATATAATTGATATTATGAACTGGTGTTATATAAATTTTTGTGAATGTATAAAAATAGAAATTTACAGGTTGGTGATAGGTGCCTTTTACACTCAAGCGAATGGTAACAATAAAAGAACATGGAATGAGTTCTGGGGAAAGTTGTAGAATTTTTTGAACAAGTGCAATTTGGGGAAATATTGTTATATGATATAAATGGGGAGAAATGAGATGCGAGAGTACAGAAAATGTTGGAGACCCAAGAATGAATAAAGAAGGCATCTGCTTAGAGAAAGATACTTGTTTCAGCTATGTAGTTTAAATAAAAGTGTATTTGAATAGATACAGGCATGGTAAACAATGAACATTCATTTAAAAGTATTATTGATTTATTTATGATGAAAGATTGACCAAACATTGAAGGATACATTACAAAGATGATGTGAGATTCATAATTTATTATTATGGTATCAAGAATGGATCCTGGGGAAAACATAATATGGAATAAAAATGAGAGAAAGAACGAAAGAATTATTGACAGAAGATAAAATATAAGCCTAATAGAAAAAATGGTAGATGATAATCTTTCAACATGAAAAAAGGAAATTGGACATAAGGAAAGAGGATGTGGAAACAGCTTATTAGAATAATTTACTTTCCCACCTGCGTCCTCTCAGAGGTCAGGATGTTTTATATAAGTCATCATCGATAAATACTTATACGCTTATATTTAATTTGACTTTGGAACTTTGCTTCTGTTTGATTTGAAATTTCAACTATATTTTTGTGCGAAAAGAGGCTGGTGTTGAATATTAATTATTGTAAAAAGCTAGTGATATTCTACTCTCTATTGGCAAATCTCTTCAGTTTACTTCTAAAATTTAAGAATAAAGTGATAAACTTGATAAGCTTGATAAACTATCAAAGTATTCAGTTAACTGATTCAGTCAATCTCCTTGTAGGGAAGATGGGTGGCATAAAAAATTAATAAATAAAATAAATTGGACTAGATGTTATATACTTTTCATAGAATATAAGGTATATATAGTAAAGTATAAAGTTTGGGATGTTAGGTATATTTGGATTCTATTTCATTTTAATTATTGTTATTGATAGTAATGGATGGTAAAATGATTCTGAGTTAATGATGGTCATGTGGTTAAAATGAGTTTTACTCTGACATTGAAATATAAAGAATATATTTCTCTCTATATACAGTGGAACCTCTGGTCACAAACACTTCTGACTGTGACCAAATTGGGTTCTGACCAAAAAAACCCACATTTTTGAATCAGGTCACGATTCAATCAGGTGGCGATCAAACACGGCCGTGGCAGATTCCCTTTTTGCGCCAATTTCCCCTTCCATGCCATTTTTTTTTGTAGGTACATGCACAGACAGTCTTGCTTCTGGTCATGACAAAATCGGGTTGCGACCGAAGTTACGGAATGAAGTACGGTTGTGACCGGAGGTTCCACTGTAACTTTAAATATAACTTCTTTGTAAATAAATTCTTATTTTATTTAGATTTGTTTTATGTCAGGACTTATTTTTTGATATTTCTTTCTTTCATAATGTAACTGATGTTTTTTTAAAAATATTTAGATGCATTGATTTACAGTATCTAGTAAGAGACTGGCTTTGTTTTTATTAAAAAGCCCCAGTTTATTTTCTCCAATAAAAGCTGCAAGCTATATTTGGAATATGTTGGGAAGAAAGTTCAAATTTGATCTTTATCCCCATGACAGATTCAAATTTGGGGACAATGTGCTTCAGAATTGTGCAAAATTGTCCAAAAAAGAATAAATACCTTAGAATAACTTATTTTCGATCACTATTAGAAATCTTTGCAGAGGTGTGAGAAGAATTTATATTATCTAAAAATGCTGAATGGTCATTGTTTAATTAAATATATACTTGACTGTACTATTTGGACAGGAGACATTATCAGTGCCCTAAATTATTACCACTGGAAAGAGTTTTGGAAGATTCTAAAAAAAAGTTTATAAAATCTACAAGAATATTGATACTAGTTGCTCCAAGTAATTTGCAAGATAGTTGGAATGAGGAGTTGGAAAATTTTATTTTAGTAAGTTAGGGAACTATCCTTTAACAAATACTAAATATGTATCTTTCATCTACCCTATATTTACAATAATAAAAAAATCACTATAGGAATGCTGAAATACATAGGCAATGCAGAGTTCTCATCCAGGAGAATGAAGCATGCCAGAAACACAGTGTTTCCCATCTTTTGTTGTTGTTGTTGTTGTTGAATCTTGTTTGGGTCTTTTTTTTTGTAATAATTTTTTATTTTATTTTTCAACTACAAAAATTCTAAAATCAATTGAACAGTGTGTTGTCTGGGTATAAATCATTTTAGGAAATAATAATCAGAGTATTTACAACAATATTCATTGCATTCATATCAATTAATGTTAATAACCATAATAATCAAACTATTTGTTTAACCAAGTTAATGTATCTTCCTAATATCAGTAATCTTTTCATATATTTCCGTTTCTAGCTCCTGTTTTTGTCAGCCAACCATTAATAAAATAAGTCCAGAGTCAAAAAACATTCAGTTTCTTCCTTTTCCTTAGTTGTAAGTGTTGGCTTATCCATTTCTGCCCATTCTAATATTTTTCTAATCACATCTTCATCTGTTGGGATCTCTTCACTTTTCCATTGCTGTGCAAATGTTCTTGCTGTAGTCAATACATATAAAATCAGATACACATTCCCTTTGTTCTACCTGTCTGGTAGAATGCCCAGCAAAAATGTCTCTGGTTTCAAATCTATATATTGTTTTATCATTTTTTCAAGCCACGTATGTATTTTTGTCTAATTTTTTTGCTCTTTGACATGTTCATCACATATGATAGTATGAACCAGGTATCTGGTGGCATTTCCAACATTTTTCAGATTTACCCTTAAATATCTTTGCTAACCTTGAGGGTGGAAAATGCCATCTATAAAACATTTTATAAAGATTTTCTTTATATGCAGTAGTGGGTGTCTGAAAATTCTTAAATGCAAGTGTTAATGAACTAAATTGCAAAACTTCTGTTTTGTGATTCATGATGGTAAAGTGTAATAGAGCTTGGGTAGATAGACTGATTTCTCCTTTTGCATGGTTCTGATAGTCTTGAACTCTTGTGTGAACCCAAACTTCATTCTTCTGGTCTAATTATTTTGTCTTCCCAGATATCTATCTGTTTATCCAGAAAAATAAAGGGATCGTTCCCCCCAGCCCCAAAGTGAATTAAAAGCAAAATGACAAAGTTGCCAAAGTCTTCAAAAGCTATCCAATATTTAGCTGATAAAATTATAACCTGGTCTTTATGGCTTTCACTGGGGTTAGATGCCAGTGGAATAAAAAGTTAAGAAGTTCCTCTATGGATTTAACTAAAACAATTTTATAGATCTATAAATACATATAATTGCTGTCATTTTTAAAATGTATGAATGGACAGCATATTTACAAATCAATTTATTTAATATAAATATTTAAGGTATTATCTATCAGGAAGTGCAAGATGATATAGTTTATGATTAATAGAATAATAATTTTCTGTTTTAGGAGGGCAGATATGTTAGTATTTAAATGAGTTCAACAATACTACATTTCTTCTTTCTTAAGGACTTTATTTATGGTTTTGCTGTACTTTGTTAGTCACCCACATTTGTTGAATCAAGTGGCATACAAATATAATGAAATATTATTACTTATTTGTAAATAGTTATTACTTTAAAAAAAGACGAATAGTTTGGAGAAAATATGTTTACAATCAGTGGTGTCCCTTACAAGCTGCAGTGATGTCAATATGTGATGACATATGCATCATGATGTCATTGTGCAAGGTCCTTGGAAATAAATGCCAGTAAGTAAATTAAATAATTTTCATCATAAAATAATGCAGTTGTTCTGCTTTGCTCCTCCCTCACCAACCCCCAAAATTCTCTGTAGGCATTTGTGTGGTTAAAGTCCTGCTAATGTCATTCTGGTCCGCTAAGTATTTGTAAACTGCCTAGTCACCTAGGTGAGATGGGTGGTGTAGAATTTTGATAAACAGTACATGTAACCAATAATACTATATTGTGTTTTTGAAAACAATAATCCTATCTACTTGTAATTAAAATTTATCACATTTTATTAATTATATCAAAAAATATTTTATCAAGACAAATTAATTCTAGGCTATTTTGTTTAGTAACAAAACACTTTATTAATCATTAAACATATTTGGTTGCTTTTAGTAACTTTATCCCTGAAGCCAAGCTTTTTATCCCTTTAGCGAGGGTAATTCCAGCACAGCTGATCTTAGGAAAAGCTGATTGCCGGGAGGGAAAAAAAATGTCTTAAGGAGTGACTGGGTGGGCGTGCATCAGGTGGCCGGGGCAAGCGAGCGAGCGGCCACCGGGCCGGGGGCATGGCCAGTCAGAAGTTACTACCAGTTCAGTGACCACACCAAATCCTTGCTACTGGTTCATGTGAACCGGTGCAAATTGGCTGAATACCACCACTGGGCTGATTGCTATTTGAATAGGGAATAATCAAGGAGTCCTGGGCTTGTAGGCTCTGCTGGGAAGTCAAAAACCACTCTGGAAGAAGAAAAGGATCAGTTACCTTCTAATGAGGTAATAAAAATCCAATTTTACATGGAAGTTATCAATAAAGTCCTCAGATTTCAAATTCAGCTTGGAGACTTTTTCTACTTTGGAAACTATATTCAGCAAACATCACAAAAATAAATAAATAAAGACAGCCCATATTGGCAAGTGTTCGTAAGTAAGAGGTATCTGATTACTTAGTGTCTGCTGTGCAAGGACTTTGGTAGTTTGCGCCATTATCCCAAACAGCACTTTACAAAAGCGGCTTTGTATACCTGAATCAGATTGATTCCCCTTCATATAGAAATTTTGCTTGTAAATTCTGACTGGTTTCAGACAAGCTGCCAGGAAATGTGTCTTGTGCAATGCTCAGATAGTATCATGACTTTATGATTCAGTGTACTGCATGAATCCAGGCAGATGGATTGAGCAAACCATAAGTAGTGTGCTGCATGAAATGAGTCGTTATATTGATCCATATTTCCCCAGGTGATCGGTTAAGTAGCTGTTCTGTGTTGATAAAGTAGCAAGTATTCATAACAATTGATGGATTAAGAGATTTACTTTGTAGTTTTGTCAAACAGAACAACCTGAAAATAGGAACTTTGAATAGGCACGAGCCACTTAACTACTCACTGTAAGGTTTAAATGCCATAGGTTCACACTATACATCTTGCATATGAAATTGTATTTTATCAGGCAATTTAAAAGGTTTTACTACTGTTGTATTTTATTTAACTATATAAATATTTAAAAGTGCTATTGATTGTTAAATAGGCATTCTTGGTTATGTGCACAACAATAAACTTTGGAAATAGGTAATATAAAATGATGGTATCTTGGAAAAGATATGGTAAAGGCATAATCACTTTTCATCTATATTCTATATAATTTGTACTATACAACATTTTTTTATTTAATATAAAAAGGAAATTACTAGTCAAAAGTCCTTCATTTTGGCTAAATGTGGCTCTCCATCTATCTAAGAAATAAAACACTATTTTCTTCCAGTAAATCTTAAACCACACTAAGATTCCAGGGCACAATGGCTCAGCAGTTAAAGATGCTGAGCTTGTCAGCTTTAACCTTTACACTGAGATTATTAATGTTACATTTAAGAGATTTTTGAGAGGAAAGACTTTCTGTGACTTTTCTGATTCCTCCTTCAGATGACATATAAACAGCAAACTAACATTAGATACAGCAAGTATTTTAGCACAGAAAGACGGAGTTCAATCTTTCATAGCAGCAAGTTATTAAGTGAGCTCCAGGAAATAATATAGGAAAATATGAAAAAATTAACTTTGAAATTTAAGGAATAATGCTTTCATAGCAAAAACAGAAAATAAAAAACCCTTCATTATGCAGTCTTCAAAATTACCACCTGGAAAAATAGAGCAGATGGGCATGTAGATTTCTTCAATTATTTTAAATTTCCAAAATGTTTATATCTTGAAGATTTACTGAAAGTATTGGTCTATGTGTAAAACTTCCCAGAAACGGTTTTTTGACAGTTGCTGGTATTGGTGAAATCTGCTTTGTTTATTCGGTCCTTAGAGGTACAGCAAAATCATCAAATACGTAGTAACGTCTGAAAAAAATGAAGAACATCATATTAAAACATATATTAAAGAACCTACAACACAGGCAACTGTACATTTATTAGTTAAACAAGATTTTGCAATGCATGGAAGTTCCAGGGGCTGAAAGAGAAGCCGCACAAGATTTGAAGCTTGCTTTCATATATACCACCTCTTAGGTCCAGCTTCTCCCTCTACAAGCAGATGGAAAGGGCTTTCAGGGAAGTGGCATAAGACAAATCTTCGCAAGCACTGCTCTTGTCAAACGATACCTAAACCTGTTGCCCAGCTGGCACATCACTCTCCCCGCCCCCCTTTGCAAACAGTCAAACTGTCATCACCAAGGCTGCAAACTGAGGACATCAAAAACTAGACACCCCAATTGTACACCTCCATGGAGAAAATGCCAGATATTTTCTTTCTCTTCTACAGACCCTTCACAAAAATAGTTTTGTGCTTCTGCGGGCAGTCCTAAAGATCAGATTTCAAAACATCTTTTATAATAAATGAAATTATCCTCATGGATTAAGAATAATTGAAAATGCTGTTTTATTCGTATGACTTTCTATGAGGTTAGGAGAGCCAAAGCTTTCACTTTTTGCAGAGACATAGCTGAAATTGGCAACTAAATGTGATATAAAGATAGCCAAAATTGTCTCTGGAAGAAAGACAGGTCTGGAAGTTGTCCCTATGTATTTTAGACAGCATTTTTGTGAGCAGACAGCAGAAACATTCATTTTGCAGCCACTTTTGCTCAGCTGGAAATCGCAGCCCCATCATAATCTGAGTTGTAAATGTAGCCTTTCAGGATCAAAGGTTTGCCCAAACCTGTCAGCTGGTGCTCCATTCAAAATCCAAGAAAGAAATACTTAAGACTCCATTAATTAGAGAAAAGATATCTTTTACTGGAAATCAAGTGGTAGCAACAAAAGAATTCTGAATCTGGGAAAATGAGCGCGTAAATCACATATACAAAGTGATGGCAATGTTCCTACCCCCAATAGTTCAATTGGCTCATCAATTAAAAGTTGTGTATATCATCATGTGGGCATCTCCAGGTGGTGATGAGGCCTCTGTCCATTGATCTTGACATATTTTGATAAAGAGTTGCAGCTGCGCATAGCATAGGATAGAAGCCTAAGCAAGAACCTTCCCCCCCCAACTTATACAGTTCTGTTTTGTAACACCTCCAGCTCACTTCCATAACCATATCCCCACTCCTCCCCCCCGTTACTTATGACAGCCAAAAGATGCAAAGCAAAGGAAGAAAATCTTGAAGGCTGACAAAACCTTTATCTTTTTATCTTTAAAAATTTGGAATGTTATTTTTTTTTTAAATTGAAAAATCACCAGAACTATGAGTCTACCAATTGCTGGTTGGGATTCTCATCCCATCAGTTTAAAAAGAAAGAACATCAGCTTTGTAAGATCTTTATATTTTTACATTTCTTCTAATATATAGCAAACAGGTTCTATCAAGAGTTGTTCCTGGGAAGCTTTATAATGCTAAGGCTTGGGAAACTGACTTAAAGAATGAAGTTAGATAGAAAAAGCTTTTTTGTGTGGGAAAATGTATCTTCTTTGAAAAACTTTGAAAGTTGATAACTAGAGCACAAGATGGCTTCATCTAAAGGAAATGTTTGATTTATGGGCCTGGGAAGTACTAGAATTTTTTTACAGGAACCAAAAGTTACCACTGAAGATGAACGAATTCCGCTGGTCATAACTGTGATGGATCTAGGTGAATTTAAAATTATAACTTGTAAGACAAAATAGAGATACTGAATTTACAAATTTATTTTGTGATCATTTAAAAACTGAATTAATACATTAAAAACTATCATTTTAAACTAAAATATAACAGAATTACTGGAGTCAATTTGAAATTACAAGTAGATTTGGAAGTTAAGAATTTTGAGAAAAAAAGGAAAAGATATTAGAAGAAAGCAAGGGTTAGGATTTTATTTATGTGATCTGTGGCTGGAGGAAGGAATATATATATATATATATATATATATATATATATATATATATATATATGGATCTTTGGTTGTTCGGGTTTTCTCCCGCGTAAGATTCGAAGTATCTAGGCAACGTTTCGATGAAGTCTCATTCATCATCTTCAGGCTTCTGTCTTCGGCTCTGTGCTTCTCAGAACAACCAAAGATCCACATACAAATACCCGCGAGAACCTCAGAATATGAATATATATATATAAGTTTTCACGGGTACTTACATGTATGTCATTCGGCTTTGTTCAGGTATTTTCCCACGTCATTGTAGTTGTGCTTTTAAAGTTGTAGCGACGTTTCAGCAGAATCTCATTTGCCATCTCAGGATGAGATTCTGCTGAAACGTCGCTACAACTTTAAAAGCACAACTACTATGACGTGGGAAAATACCCGAACAAAGCCGAATGACATACACACACACACACACACACACACACACACACACACTCTTTTTCTGACTATGATTAAACAATGACCTTATTTCTGATGATGCTTAATGGTTATTTGGATAATTTGTCTTTTGAAAATGTTTAATGGTATAATGGCTTAGTTTTTGATATCTAAAAGAGTTATTATTTTGGTAAGTTTAATAATTTTTTAATTCTTTTTCTGCATGTTTAATTGTTAAGAGAGGGATGAAGGGAATTTAGATTAAATGAAAAGGAAGATTTATACTTCCATTAGGCATTTTTGTCAATTTTTATTGGATTTTGCTGATTTGTAAGAAGAACTGAAGATTTAGATATGTTTTTATAGAAATTAAGGTGAGGCATGGAATGAAGCGGTATTTGCCAGTATTTTGAGAGGCACTGATAAGTTATTAATGTTGAATGTATATTTGTTGGGTGTAAAATTATATTATCTTATATTATTATAATTATAATTATATTATATATTATATATTATATTATTATAATTATATTATCTTATATTATCTTTTTTTCTTTTCTTTTTTAAAGTGGGTTCTGTGCTTTTTAATTATTTTCTTTTATGAATTATTTTTGTATTGTTTTTATATTTTGTCAATTCTCTAACAAATGACTTACTTTAGAGACTTACAAATGGCACGATTGCTTAGTCATTATGCATTCTATCTGGCTTGTTTTGGCTACAGTTTATTTCTCTTTCTATTCTTCCTTCTATGTAGACTACATAGTGGATTTAAAAAATTCATGCGGCTTGTGATTCTGAATGAATGCATTTAAAGTTGATCTCTGAAAGATGTACAAATTCTCAATTACAAGAGGGTAATATGTATAATATGTGTATGTATTTTTATAATAAAATTATTTTTCTTATATACACTCTGATGTAATCCATATTCAGAAATGTACACACAATTGCCTTAGGACTATATCAATGCAGATGGCAGACAGAACTGCATACCTCCCTAGATCTTTTTAGAAAATCCAAACAAATAAGAAGGCTGTTTAGAGTTGGATAATGATAAGTACATTACATATATCACCTGATGATCATCAGAACTGATGTGTACTGTTATTTTAAAACAATTGAATCTGATGTAGGACAGCATAAATTCTCGCTATTATGTTCATCAACATAAGATGTTGACAAGCACCTTGGGTTAATTCAGGGCCAGAATCTTTCCGATTGACTTCCTTGCAGGGAAGTGCAGATTTTAGTAAAGCCTATAGCTGGATGTGATGGAGCGCGTGAAGTGTGGTGACTTCCACTTCAGTGTTCTATATCGCGTCTGTGCTATGGCTGGGCCACCTTCCTCTGATTCTTGGGGGGAAAGTGTGCTCTCCCAAGACTTACTTATTTAAAAATGTCATCCATCTGTCTACTTTAAAAGCATGAGTGAATTTTATGCTATGATCTTAGAATAGTGTTGGAAAATATGCAGATCTAATTAATATTTTAATAATAAAATATGTAACATTTATTTATTCAACATCACTTTGTAACGCTATTATATGTTAAAGGTAATTTAGAAAGCTTTTAAAGCAAGGTTCCTTAACTTCAGATATTGACAGGGAAGTTCAAAATCTGGAGTGGTGTCTGATTGGTGACAAACAGCAAAGGGGATTTGGTGTAAGACAAAGGATGAATGCCATCCGCTTTATATTTTTGTATCAAAAATACAACTGGCTTCAGATAGCCTAGCAAATGATATTGGGAGCTATTCCAGGCAAACACGAAAATGTTAAGAAGAATAAAAGAAACTAGCTGCTACCGCATGATGCAATTCCTAGAAGGGTAATATGCCCACACTCACATAACGGAGACAGCATCACCAGCAAAATTAACAGTTTATGTGAGGTGTGTCTGTGTGTCTGCCAGCTGTAAAAATGTTTGGATTCAGGTGAGCAATAGTAAATTGATACCAGCTTATGAGTTGGAAGGGAAACTCCAGGGAATTATAAAATAGCTATGATACTTCTAATAGTTATGCTTCCCATCTAGAGTTTTTAGTTTCTATTTTCACTATATTGTTGATCCAAGAAATCTGTTGTTTACTGTTTATATGAACATTTACCTAAGGCCAAATCAACCTACAGTTGTTTAAATGATTTGTGCTGATGTAAGACTGAGTTCATAATCTTGGGATGGATGTGTACATTGGGAGGTTAAATGTGAACATTATGGAATAACAGTTGTTCCTTGTGTTCTATTTAAGATGTAATTTCCTCTATGTACAAACAGTTCCTTTTTATATAATACTCTAATTTCCCGAAAGAGATAAAGCAGTTTCTGTTTAAATTGATATTTTTCTTGTACAGACATAATAATTTACAATGTCTATTTATTTAGAAATACATTCTAGGCTATTTAAAATGGCTGAGTTTTTGTATGTAGATTTCAGCTAAAATTCTACCTGAAGAGAAGTTATTTAATTCAAAGACCATCAAATTTATTTAAAGAGTATATATACAATGTACATAAGACAATGAGGATGCAAGACCTCTAGCTAGTTCCTTAGCATAATTATAAACAATGCTCCCAGGAACAGAGAAATGCATGTTGCAATCAAGCAGGGTTGTTGCTACTGTGTCTTTGATCTGTCCCATGAGACTTCTGTAAATGCAAATGCCATTTCATCAGCTCTCTCCTAGTAAAGAACTTTTAAACAATGTTATCCATCTCCTACAATGTCATGTATGTGTTTGTGTATGCCAAATGCAATACACACATTCCTCTGAGAATGGAGTTGGTTGTATGACTCCTGTAAACAGAAGAAAAATATGGACATATTTGTATCTAACACTGCTAGTACCTCTGGTTTTTTTAATTATACACAGGGAAATGCATTCTTATATATGTTGAAAATGTTTGCATTGTACATAATGCATTTCATCTTGATGGAATGACAAAAAGGAATTCGTTATCAGAGCGGAATAGTCTTCGAAGTGGCCTTGCATATTCCTCTGATACCATTTTAAGCAGAGGGAGCCGAGTCATTTAACAGAGCGGCCCATCCATGATAATCCATATACTACGTGACAATCTACACAATCTATGACAATCCACGCATAAGCCCATTTTCAGATAAGCCAACCCTCACCCTTTTAGTATTTTGGTTAAACATTTGAAAGTCAGTTTATCTGCATATGGATTACGTGAGTATACAGGGTATATGGGTATTTGAAAAAGTATTACCGTATATACTTGGAGCTAGGCCTATATGTAGATAAGCCGAACTCATCACCTAAAATTCTATAGACTTATCTGCAAGTATATACATTAATCATATCTTGCCACTCTTATTAACCACAAAATAAATGTTAATAAAGAATTCTAGCCATGCTCAATTGAACTGAATTCTTTTCCAGGGGCACAGTATGCATCTCTTTATCTTCTGAAGTGCCTCTGAAAACCTGGGGGTTCACCAGGATCCACATGTAGTGGGGATCTGCACAATTGTGATGTGACCTGATCCCATCATCACCTCTGCATTCTAGACCAGGGGTTGCCAACCTTTTGGACCTCAGGGACCACCAAACTCATAATTTTAAATTTAATTAAATTTTAATCAATTAAATTAATTAATTAATTTTATTAATTAAATTTTAAGTTTGCCAGGTAAGGAGTGGGTGGGGAGGGTTCTTGTGGGCTATGTGAGTGCCGCAGCCTTGTGTTTCTACGCAGCCTGGATTAATTGCTTTGGGGGTGTGTGCTCTGGGGGGTGATATTTCTCTGCAGCCCACCAAAATTTTCTCAAGGCCCACCAGTGGCCGTGGCCCACCGGTTGACGACCGCTGATCTAGACAGCAACTAAGGCCTCTGTTGATTTGTCATCAAAAACAGGAATAATCCCAAACTCCTTTTGGAAGTGAGCAAACCATCAGCACCTGGGATAAACTGATAGGGCATTTCTCTGTTAGAGGAGTGTGCTCTCCCAAAACACCAACTCTCCCCTAATTTTACTTAGCACATCTTCATGCCAAAAAGCTCCATCACATAATACAACCATGGAGAAAATCTATCTAAATAAGGCCAACAAATAAGGCCAACAATCTACTGACATACTAAGAGAGGAGCAGTTTTGATCCCAACACAACTCCCAACAGTGACACTCATTGCCACTATAGCTGAATCCAGCTAGTTTGCTGCTGGCCATCCTTTTCTTCCTTTCTTTACATTTTTTCCCAGCATCAGAGCCTTCTCTAGGGATCTAAGTCTCTAAAACAGAGGATTCATCTCCAACCTACTCTACTTTCTTATCAGATGTTCTACAGTTAAAGTACCTTTATTTCAGTTATTATGAAACAAATGGAATGGAGATTTATGTTGTGGCATGTTTGCCGGTGAAGAAATTGGGCTATTTCCACCAAAAATTATTTTTGGGACCAAGTCCTCTGTAGGTGTACAAATACAAATCTGTGAATGCATGCATGATATTTGAAGCACAATTCAAGGCTCGCAGTTTGCTGCTATTTCTTTTGCTAATTTTTTTTATCCTGAAACCTCTTTGTTGCAGATGTATTAATTTAATGTGGAATACTTTTTCTGTTCGAACATTTTAGATATTTCATAGAATTAGAAAGATAAATCATTTCCAAGGAAGGAGAACAAAATTAAATCGATTGAACATTTACAACTAATTGATATGCCACCCTCTGAAACATAAATGGCTTCCTTTCCTTAGGGATAGAAATTTGCTAAATGATTATGTAATGCTGATACAGAAGGCTTGTTTTCATTTGCTGCAAGGATATAATGCAGACTCATTGGCCAACCTGAAGAACTGGCTACTTAGGCAAGCTGTTCTTTGAAAACTCCCCAGTTCTCTTTATCCACAGGTTGGTTTTGCAAGAGTTAAATTAGTGTCCCAGCAACCCCAGTGAGTGCGTCTATCCAGCAATGCTTTGCTGCCCATCAGCTTCCTGCTTCCTTTTCAGGATTGCACTGGAAATTGCCCAAACAAGCAGAACCAAGCAGACTGCAAAGGTCACACCTGGCATGTGGCCAGCTTGCTCCCTGGCTCCAAAACTGCACCCCCAATTGCCAGGTTCAGGGCAGCCTATGTATTCCCTCTTTTGTTTCCCTTTTCTTCTCCCAGCTGTTCCCATTCATAGGCCCAAGCTCAGCAATCTGCCCTTCCCAGAAAAAGAGCCCCTTATTAAGCTGAGCTAACTCAAAGGGCCAGCACAGCACGTGCCACTCCTTATCGGCACCATCTCAAGATCCTATTCCATGGTGCTTAGCCAACAAAAAAAAAAGTAATGGTTTTAACTCCCATTGACTCCCCTGCAGCAAATTCAAACAAAAGTGCAAAGCAACAAAGACATTTTCCACCATGGCAGGTGTTGGTGTCAAATTCTGCCTGAAGCAAACAGGCACAAGAAAAAGAAAGAAGAAAGAAAGAAAAAAAGAAAGAGAGAGAGAGAGGGAGAGAGAAAGGAAGGAAGGGAGAGGGTTTTCTCGCAAAGCTCAGACATTCAGGGCCAGAGAGTTACCAATAATATTCTTTCCAGTGCTCCTTAGCGAACCAGACATAAACAAGGACCATTTGTTTTCAGAGCAAACTCAGTGGAAAAGCAAGAGACCAATCCAAATTAAATGACATTTCTTTCAGCTTCATGCAAGCAATAGATGGAATCTAGTTAGTAAATTGAGAATGATGCCATGTGAGCAAACTCTTACCTTTCTCAATTACCGTAACGAGATCATTACATATTTTAATCTAAAGGGAAAGAACACAAATGTATGTAAATATGGGAATAGTGCACCTGCTGCTCTGATGACAGTCTTAGATACAATTACAGAGTTATTAGACGAGAGGAGGACACAAATTGGAAATAAACCTAATGAGCATCAGCAATATTATGAAATAAGTTGTAGATAGTAATAATTCCACAATGCTGTTTTTGCTTATTTGAATACATTGTCTAACGTAGTTTATTAAAAGCTTGAAACTTGTACCTGGAGTAATCATGCAGATAGAGTAGAATGTTGGCATATTCAACTTTATTGCAATCTTCCTCCACAACTCAGAGTAATGTTTCCCTTTATACAGTTGTGAATTTGTAAATAAACATTCAGAGTAAATGGATATCACCAAATTAAACAAATCCCTCCTTACTGTTTTGTTTTTATAGCATGGTGGAATTTTGCATTTTTGGCTAACGTTATGGAATATTGTTGCACTTGCCCCTCTCCCTCAATTTTTAAAGGCTTTAAAGGTAATCTTCGAGTTATGGATGAAATGGAGCCAGCCCATTCCATTCGTAACCTGAGGATTCGTGGGAATGAATCTCGTACCTTGAACAGGATCACTCCCTTTCGCCCATGGATTCACTAATCGAAGTGCACATGAGGTATCTCGGGTTGGGATAGGCCATGGAAGGCCTAGTGATAGAACAGGCCACCTGCTTCAGACCACCCAAGGACCCCCTGACCCACAGATACCTCATTCTCCCTCCCCTGGGGTCCCCACAATTGCTCCGCCCCATCCCTCTGCGCCCGGTCACTTACCTGATGATGATCTATCTCCTCTACAGCCCATTTCTTTGCCTGCTCCCTCCTTTTTCGTCACTGAAACTTTCCTCAAGCAGTTTGGCAGCAAGAAAGGGGGCCCAGAAGGGCGCACATGGCCTTCTGGACCTCCTTTCTCACTGCTGAACTGCTTGAGGATAGCTTCGGTGATGAAAAAGGAGGCCTGGAAGGAGTGCCTGCGAAGACCCGGCAGGGGAGGGAGTGAATATGCAGGGCGAATGTTGCAGAGCCTCTGCAGTTGTTTGTAAGAGTGAACCACTCGTGTGGTGCTGCAACATTCGTAATTTCGGGACTTGTTCATAAACACTAGGGGGTGCTTATCACATAACTTCAAACGTTCACTAAGGGAATGCTTGTAACCGGGGGATTACCTGTATAAACTAGGTTTTATACTAAAAAATATAATTCAGAATGAAGTATTTATCACTTGATTTTTGAACATGCACCCCATGACATACAATAACTCGATGAGCCAGCAAATAATTCAAGGGACATAGCTTGGCCCTCTGTGATAATCTTATGATATGGGAAGTTATATAGAGAGTCTAGAAGACTAATTAAATACGTACTATAGCACATAATCACATTCCTCATACTTTCTATTTCTCTGTCTCATCATTTTCAATCTTTTGGGTTATTAGCAAATTTACCCTTCAGAGCACAGATGGCAAAACATTATAGTGTGTCAAAATGATTACTCCTTTGCTCATGGACATGATGTTATAAAGATATCAAGGCAGGAGCAAGACATCCTTAACTCTCAAAAAAATGAAGTATGAGGGGAACTGGTTTATATCCTTTTGTAATTCAATAACCCTAGTATATTGACTGAAGAACCAACTGGTGCTATCAAATCCCATCAACAACAGTAGAGAAGATGCAAGGCTACAACAGGTTAAATCATAATATAAACATTTTTGGACCATTTTATAATTATAGCCTGTACTAAATATTTTTGAGGACTCCAAGAGCCTGAGGCATGAAAAATAACTCCAAAATATATAAAGATCTAAAATTTCCCCCCTTTTGCCAGTTTCTCCACCTGGTCTCTTTGCAAACCCTCTGCTGGTGAAGGATAGTTAATAACCAGGTTCTCATTTACACAGTAGGAATTAATGGCTCCCAAAGTTCTTCTTAATCCAATATTACAAACTGCATTTCAGCAATAGCACAACAAAAGATTTATTTATTTGGTTTTGCAAATGAAATTGCTTTATCATGAATCTCTGTACCAAATCATTAATAAAAATTGGGTAACAATGGATCTAGAATACAAGCTTTAAGACAGGAACTAGGCCAGGCAACTGCCCATTGCTATTGTTGCATATACGTATCTTCATACAACGGCTTAAATTAATACCAGAAGCTTCTGACCCATGATCTCTCTTCTTCAGAAGATTATTCCATCAAAGAACTGTAGAACTGAAAACTGATTCAGAATTTACATTTAAGATTTTTCAAGGGGTGTGTGTGTGTGTGTTTGTGTGTGAGCACACAATATGTGTACACGTAGTTAATGTACTGTATGCTGTAAACCTGAACACTGATCAGTTGTAACTAACAGGCCTGGTCCTCAGCTAATGTGTTCTGCACAGATATTCTATAAGTTACATATAATTCCTTTACAAAAGTTATGTTCGTCAGTACTACCAAGCAGCCTATTTGGTGAGGCTCTATTGTGAACATCTGGTTGATTATAATAAATTTTATTATTTGTGCCTCTTTTGCATATGACAATATAGTATTAACCTTTGAAAAATAGTCTTTCCTATCTTCCAAATCATTAGCATGTTTATGAATGAACTCTTCTTGCCCTTGTTGCTGACAAGACGTGTCTACCTTGTCTGGCTGCTGGGCCGGGCTTGGCTTTGGCTGTGGGGAAAAAAAAAGAGAGCCAGAAGCAGGCCCTGAGCTACAAGCAGGCCCTTTGTCTTTGCTGCTTTTGGGTTTTTTGGGGTGGGGGTGGGGGAACACGAAGCCAGTCTCAGTCCCAGGCCCTGCAGCCAATCCGGGGATGCTTTGTCAGCAATTGGGTAATCAAGACGCCAAAGGTCAGATTCTGGTGAAGCACAGGGCAACAGGGGGTCAAAAGGGCATAGATGGGGAAGAAGCTAGGCAACTGGGGGGGGGGGGACTTGAGGTGCCTTTGTGGCGGTAAATGTGTGTGGGCTGCCCAGTATCTGAATTTTGATCATATGATATGGGGGGTGCTGTAACAGTCATAACTTTGGGCACAGATTGTAAGTTCCTTAAGAGCTGCTTAACTCATTCTTTGCATTAGTTTTGTGTCATTCTTTACACAAAATGAAACTATAGCCCAACCTATCATAATTGTAAAAGACAGACTCAAAATATAAATTAAAATATGGAAGAAAAAGGAAAGAAAACACCTGTCTGATCTTGATATATATAAATCACCAGGACCTGATGGATTACACCCCAGAGTTCTGAAGGAGCTGTCAGATATTAATTCAGAACCGTTGTAACATATCTTTCAAAAATCCTGGGAACTAACAGGATTGGACAAGAGTTGATGTGGTTCCCATCTTTAAAAAGGGAATAAACAAAAAAATAAAAATCAGTCCCAGGAAACTACAGACTAATAAGCCTAAAATCAAAACCTGGGAAGATCCTGGAAATGGTAATAAAAAACAGATCTGTGAATATCTAGAACAGGGGCGTCAAACTTGCAGCCCATGTGCCAGATGTGTCATGCATTGACCTCGCCCACCCCCAGTTTAACAAGGGGAAAAAAGTTGCGATACATCACATGACTGATGTGATGATGCAAGTTTGACAATCCTGATCTAGAAACTAGATGGTGATTATGATTAAGCCTAATTAGGGGACTGAAATGATATAGAGTCTCCTGTTTGGGTAGGAGGCTGAATTAGAAGACTTGAAAAGGTCCCTTCCAACTCTGCTATTCTGTTTTTGTTTCACCTTCATTCAGTGCCATCATAACAGTTGCTGAATGGACTACCTGTATATGTAAAATTAATCAGTCACACAGTTATCCAACCTTGTCAGGTGCAAAGGATACATTATTACGTTAAGTTGCACACAGATTTATTCGAATCTATATGCAAGAATCTAGTCAACTAATGGTGAGGACTAAATTGCCACTAGATAAAAGTCAATGGAATTCAATGGTTGCTGAATTTGGATTGTTTGTGGCAACAGAAAGGCTAAGCTAATGACATGTTTAACTGCCCCCTCCCCCACTCTGCCTGCTCTTCTCCTGCAACCTTTAGCCATTGTATAATTCAGAAATATTCTCTAAAAACAGTAAAAGAATAGACAGAATCAAAGAATTGTGGGATTTCAGAGGTTCGTAAAAATTTCAACCCTCTACAATGTGCAAGTAAATATATTTGATGTGTTGCTTCCAAGCCATGAATCCCACACATTACATGTGATATATGTGATATATCGAGTATATCTATCTATCTATCTATCTATCTATCTATCTATCTATCTATCTAT